AATCGCTATACAAATGCACTAATCACTATATGAATGCTCTAATCGCTATACAAATGCACTAATCACTATATGAATGCGCTAATCGCTATACAAATGCACTAATCACTATATGAATGCGCTAATCGCTATACAAATGCACTAATCACTATATGAATGCTCTAATCGCTATACAAATGCGCTAATCACTATATGAATGCGCTAATCGCTATATGAATGCACTAATCGCTATACAAATGCGCTAATCACTATATGAATGCGCTAATCGCTATATAAATGCGCTAATCGCTATACAAATGCACTAATCACTATATGAATGCACTAATCGCTATACAAATGCACTAATCGCTATACAAATGCACTAATCGCTATACAAATGCACTAATCACTATATAAATGCGCTAATCGCTATATAAATGCGCTAATCGCTATACAAATGCACTAATCACTATATGAATGCACTAATCGCTATACAAATGCACTAATCGCTATACAAATGCGCTAATCACTATACAAATGCACTAATCACTATATGAATGCACTAATCACTATATAAATGTGCTAATCGCTATATGAATGCGCTAATCGCTATACAAATGCACTAATCACTATATGAATGCACTAATCACTATATGAATGCGCTAATCGCTATACAAATACACTAATCACTATATGAATGCGCTAATCGCTATACAAATGCACTAATCACTATATGAATGCGCTAATCGCTATATAAATGCACTAATCACTATATGAATGCACTAATCGCTATACAAATGCACTAATCACTATATGAATGCGCTAATCGCTATACAAATGCACTAATCACTATATGAATGCGCTAATCGCTATACAAATGCACTAATCACTATATGAATGCGCTAATCGCTATACAAATGCACTAATCACTATATGAATGCGCTAATCGCTATACAAATGCACTAATCACTATATATGAATGCGCTAATCGCTATACAAATGCACTAATCACTATATGAATGCGCTAATCACTATATGAATGCGCTAATCGCTATACAAATGCACTAATCACTATGTAAATGAGCGAATCGTTTTATAAATGCGTTAATATTGTTATATAAATGCGTTAATCACTATATAACTGCATTAATCGTTATATTAATGCGCTAATCGTTATATAAATGCATTAATCGTTATATTAATGCGCTAATCGTTATATAAATGCATTATCGCTCTATAAATGATCTAATCTTTAAATAGGCTAAATAAGCTAACCATAAATGTGCTACTCGGTATATAAATGCGCTAAGCGTTAGATGAATATGTTAATCGCTATATAAATTCTCTAATCGTTATATAACTACATTAATCTCTATATAAATGAGCTAATCATTATATTAATATAATAATCACTATATCAATGCGCAAACTATTATATAAATACGCCAATTGCTATAATATTTACGCTAATCGATATATATATAATGTTTGGTTTTACTTTATTTGCATTAATTAACATCACATTTAAAGGTGCAGTGTGTAATCTTTAGCGGCATCTAGTGGTGAGGTTGTGAACTGCACCCAACAGTTACGGTGGCCGACAGGAAGTGATGTCGTCGTCTGAGACAGCAGAGAGTCGCCAGTTAAACAATGAGGTTTCTTTACAAAGATAAATAAAGAGATTAGGTTTACTTTATTATTCAGTAAATCGATATGTTATTGCGAATATTATTGTAACTTGTTCATCATTGTGTCGGTGTTTTATTCGCTGACTTTAGTTTCGCTTCTTTGCACGAAGAACAACATAGTGAGGAAACGCGTTTGTCCGCTCAGGGCCACCGTAGAAACCTGTCGGTGTAAGCGGACCCGCGGTGTGTGTAGAGAGAAACGCTCAATCTAAGCTAATAAACACATAACGCTTCCATTATGCAAGATCTTTATACACCACTGATAACATAGTTATGTTTATGATATTGCATTTCTGTCACCAGATCCTCCTAAATATTACACACTGAACCTTTAAACTGAATGAATGTTTTATTTGCGAGGATTTAAGAGTTGTTGTCCAAACGCAGGTGCAAAGGTGACGTCCACAGACCTGCCGAATATCCTGAGTAATCTGAGTTACAACATCACGCGTAACACCAGGGGGCGCTGCAGGCACGAGCCGATCGTGACCGAGCTGAGCTGGGGGAAGGAGCTGGAGGAGCGTTTCCCGCGCGCGACCTGCCGCTACGACTACATCATCGCCGCGGACGTGGTGTACTCGCACCCGTACCTGCACGAGCTCATGGAGACCTTCCTACACCTGAGCTCAGACAACACCGTCATCTTATGGGCCATGAGGTTCCGTCTGGACCCGGAGAACCGCTTCGTGGACACGTTCCAGAAGCACTTTCAGCTGCAGGAGCTCTACGACCTGCCCAGCCTGAGGATAAAGCTGTACAGCGCACGCAAGCGCACAGCAACACAACAGTAGAGGGGTCAAGATGTAAAATAAGTCTGATGTCCCCAGAGTGTGTGTGTGAAGTTTTAGCTCAAAATACCCCACAGATATTGTTATATAGCATGTGAAAATTGTCACTTTTTAAAGGTGAGCAAAAACGCAACGTTTTTGTGTCCCTTTAAATGCAAATGAGCTGCTGCTCCCGGCACAGGGGGCGGAGCTTCAAGAGCTTGTGTGTGTGTGTGTGTGTGTGTGTGTTAGCAGCTCTGATTACCTCACACAGACACGCGCACACCAACACAACATTAACAAAACCACAACTATAAATGTGACTGGATCACAAATAAACCGGTAAAAAACGGCAGCTGTGGTTGCCAGAACTTTACCGTCAAAAATACGGTAGCAACGTTATTGGTTTTACAGACTTAACTTAAAAATTACAGTAATAAACTGTATTTCATTATCTGATATAATGTTAATTTACTGACCTGTTGAAGTATTAATATCTGTTTTGTACCATTGTAATACACTGACAACCAACAATCACAGTGGAGATGAGAGTCACATGATCAAACACAGCGCATCACAAGCAGCTTTTCCACAAGAGTTTTACCAATATATAGAAGCTGCAGTGTCATTCACACACACTAAACACCTTCATGGTAACACACATGAAATGTAAAAAATGCAATAAACATTAATTTAACAAAAACTGTAAATTTAACGGTATTTTACAGTAAAATTACAGTATAGTAAGGAAACTTTCTGTTAACTAATTAACAGTTTTTCACTGTAGCATTTTTTTTACCGTTAAAATCACGATTTTGTTTTTACAGTACGAGTCGCACGGGTATATTTGAATGGGTCAAAATTATAGATTTTTTTTATGCCAGAAATCATTAGGATATTAATTAAAGATCATGTTCCATGAAGATATTTTGTAAATTTCCTACCGTAAATAAATGAAGCAGCAAACTATGATTCATCCAAAATTTGGCGATTTTCTCAATATATATATATTTTTGCAGCTTCAGATTTTCCAAATATTGTCCTATCCTAACAAATCATACATCAACGGAAAGCTTATTTATTCAGCTTTTAGATGATGTATAAATCTCAATTTAAAAAAATGTACCCTTATGACTGGTTTTGGGGTATATACATATATATATGTATTTTTTTTGTTCTTCATATTGAAAAAATAGGATATAAGAAAATGAAACAGTCCATTTTGAGTTTCAAGAACTGGTCTAAGTTTACATCTTGATTTTATGTTTACATCTGAATTTTGATGCAATTTTAAATCCTCCTGCAGACTGTACCTGACACTTTAATGGCATATTTATGTTTTTAAGGTCAACATGAAATTAAACTTTTTTTTTTCTCTTAATTCATGTTTTTGGTCCTAAATGATTCATCTGTGACTAAAAAGATCCATGAGTTATGTCTTCATAATCTTTCAAAAGACCTTACTCCACTTCTGAAATAAAAAGATATAGATCACATGGTTACAGTTGTGGTCAGAATTATATTCTAAACTATAATCCTTTGGTTTTACTCATTGTGAAATATGATTAAGGGAATTTTGCCTCTGTATTTCCTCATATTTATCCTCACGTGGAACAGGAGGTCATGGCTGGACAACTTCATGTTCCTGCTCACCCTGGTGTGCTGCAAAATGTAAATATTAATGGGAATATTCATAGATATTTTAGTCATAAAAAATTCTAGTGGTGCCAATAATTGTGGCCAACGTGTTTTGGAGATAAACATTTATTCATAATATGATTTTCCCTCGACTTTCAATTCTTTTACTTTAATGAAAGGTTCGATTTTTGTCAATGAAATATCAAAAGGATAAACAATGCAGATTTATTTTTGCAGCCATCTTTGATCATATTCATCAAGGGTGGCAATAATTCTGACCACAACTGTAACTAATCGTCAAATATGTATTTATGTTGTTGTTATTTTAGGCAGCTGGAGAAAATCCAGTCCTGATGAACATGGAACATTACAGAAGTTACATTTCATGATGACTTTACAATCTGTGTAAATGCAAATATGACCGTTGTAAATCAATAATATTTCGAGAGTTGTGAGCAGTGCTGTTACATCATGTTTTTCATTACGTTCGCTCTCTTACGTTTTGAAGACTTTTGGATAGACATTTCACTTCTACAACTTTAAAATGAGCCTTTTCATTACTGGGAAATAAACATGCATGAAACAGTCTGATGAAAAGATGTGCTCTTCCTTCTCTAAACTATAGCTTCTGAAACTTTGCTTAGAGTTGGCACTTCTAGATGGTAAAAACGACCAGATGAGAAGTAGAACGGATATCTTGTATAGTTTCTAAGCTGAGACGCCAGTAACCAGATGTGTTCATGAGCAACAGCACGTAGCAGTACTGGATTACAAACATGTTGTGGTTCTTCAGAGGACGTGTCTGATGATGATATACAGAGATATTTGATTACTGGTATCATGTGCTTGAGTCTGGCAGGGTCATTACATCACGCAAACACACACACCTACACACATCTACTACTGCAGAAGAGAGATTAGGAAAACACCCTCCTGCAGGAAAGCCAATCATTTCAACATAATGAGACCATCTCCTTTCTGCCCAATGGTGTAAATGTGGGTCACAGTGCCAGACCACCAAAATATATCAGGACCCTAGATGGTGAAGACGTACAACCCCAACCAACCGATTCCAGAGGGTTTTGACAGTCATACAAGAAACTGGAGAAGATACAGTGAGGATTTAGGGGCCGTTGACCAGCGTTGACCTCATGCGGCCCCCAGAGATATAATCAGTGTTATATTGGGTTTCCCTTCTGTGGAATCCATTTAGCACATACCAACTGGCTGGAATCAGAGAAACCGATAGGGACCGAATTAATGGGCAAAAAACAATCTCACATAAATCTGAATTTCACATGTACATATGCACCGCAAAAACAACAAAAATATTTACAAATGCATTAAAATAATACATTGTGTGAAGTGCAATAAATAATGCAATGATGTATATATGATTACATTTAAATATGTTTTAATTAGGGGACCTTATTGTATCAGTTGGTTTTCTTATTATTCATCCTGAATGGGAGTCTATGGCAGCCCCATCAACCATACAAACACTGAACAAAATTATAAACGCAACATTTTTGTTTTTGCCCCCATTTTTCACGAGCTGAACTCAAAGATCTAAGACTATTTCTACGTACACAAAAGTCCTATTTCTCTATAAATATTGTTCACAAATCTGTCTAAACCTGTGTTAGTGAGCACTTCTCCTTTGCCGAGATCATCCACCCACCTCACAGGTGTGGCATATCAAGATGCTGATTAGACAGCATGATTATTGCACAGGTGTGCCTTAGGCTGCCCCCAATAACAGTAAAACTGCACATTTTAGAGTGGCCTTTTTTGTGGCCAGCCTAAGGCACACCTGTGCAATAATCATGCTTATCAATCAAGTGTAGAAAAAATATGACATTTGGTACACTGATAGAGGTGGTTCTGCATAGTAATCTGACCAACTTTTGGGTCTCTAGGACAAACTCTGTAGCGCCAACACGTTTTCAAAAATCCACTTTTCTTGTGGTTATAACTTTTGAACCCTTTGTTCTAGAAACAAAAAAGGACTACTGACTAGTCTCCGCATGTGGATCACACTCAACATCTTACATTAAGAACCCCATCCCTTACCATCAATTGTTTTTCTTTCTTTTGATTTTTGGGGTGAAATACGACCTGAACATACATGCATGTTCTCAACAGGCTTTTTGTAAGATTCACCCAGAAGTAAAATATTTGTAAAATCCAGTATATATGCAGCGTATGTTTTACTTTAAGTTCTGAACAACAATAGACATCATATGCAGTGAGAATGGAGTCATTATCATGTGTGAGATGTGTGGATCTTCATAGTCAAACTAGAGCTATATCATCTAACTAAACAACCAGATAACAGAAGCTGGCTTTCTGAACCGCTGTGTTATCTTAGGGCTTTAGTGTTTACTTTCCTGATTTATTTGTGCCAACAGAAGCTTGATTCCTCAAATAGACCTGCACTGCCCATCTCCTCCTCTGTGTTTGTGTGGATGTGCCACTGGTTAATGAATATCCAGCTAAATATAGTGATGCCAGCGTGACGCTGGAGTGTTGGATGATGCTCGTCTATAACCTCGCTGAGGATGCGGTTGCAGAAGCACTTACGGATAACTGTGGACAGGACTGAATTAAAGTAAAGCTCACCTTTGCAGACAGATAATCCTCTGACGGTCTGAACCAGCTGAAGCTGCAGTGAAGTGAGTGCGGTGATTTCTTCTGAAGCTGTGAAATGCATTTGAGGAAATACAGTAAGAGGTGATTTCAGGTAAATTTGGACGCTTTTGACCTATAAAAACCATGTAGTTGATCTGATTGCTCCCATTTCCTTTTCATTTTCTTTTGTGCAAACTTTTTAAGGTCCTGAAGTACCTTGTTTTTGTCCCTATTTTAAAAAGGACATGCTGATCTCATCGCATCATGCACTTCATTGTTTTTATTACTTTATTGAAATTTGTACTTGTTTCACTTGCATAGATCATGAACTAATCTGACAAATGTTTGAGAAAATGACAAATGACAATGTTTGAGAAAATGTAGAATCAGTAGATTTTAACAGGTCAAAATAAAAGCAAACTGGTTTAAAACAAAAATAATATGTTTTAAACCAGTCCATCCTGTCAGCGAGCCGATATCATCATGGATTGTCCTCAATCTGGAAATGCCACAGCGGAGACGGACGAGCGCTTGAACACCGGGAACGATGATACAGATGGTACATCAATTTAAAATATACTGTCAAATAATCACAATATTACCTTCTCTTAATCTCTGACTGCAAACACACTACATCTGTGAAGATCTTGATGAGGAATGCATCTGTTTTTCATTGGTTATATTGAGCAGATGTTGAAGTCCGAATGCGCAAGGCATCCTGGGAACCCAGTGTTCTGTCCTCCGTTGGAAAGGAGATCCTTTATTTCGCCGGTCATGAGATCAGCATCTGGGAGTCTCTTGATTCATTTGGTTCTGTCATCTGGCCAGGAGTAAGAGAATTCGTTTTTAAATATTTGAAATATTAAAGATAACCCTGGTCAATAGTTTGGATGTTCAAATACTTTCTAGTGTGTCAGTTTCATGTCAGTCAGTCATTGATAGTTCAAATTTCCAAAGAGTGAAACACTGACACTTTCACAACATTGATCTGTTTGTGTGACTCAACCAATCATGTGAGTTAGGGGCGGGACTATCTGGCTGACTGACCAATGGCAGACAGGGAACGGCATGTGATAGGAGTGTTTGAGAAACCAGTCTGAAACTGATCATTTTCACGACTACATTTGATGTCTCTAGAGCAGTGGGTCTCAACCAGGGGCCGGGGCCACCAGGGGGCCTCAACAAACCTCAAACCCTTTGAACATTTGTTGCTGATTGATGTTTATCATCATGAAATAATCATCATGAATTCTTATTTAGGCTCTGGCTCTGTGTCACTACCTTGAATCTAATCGAGCGACGGTTGATCTTCTCGACGAGGCGGTGCTGGAGATTGGATCTGGCACAGGTCTCGTGTCCATCGTGGCCAGTCTGTTGGGTAGGTACTAAAGATTCAGATTGTTCAAAAACATATTGTGAGCATATGGTTGTGTTATACATTTTCAGACTGTAAGAAATCATACTCTGCCTTGACCCAGATTCCACTCCAAAATATTTTAGAATGAGCTCATCCCCAAAATGGCTTAATTATCATAGAGATGAAGGAAGTCAAGTTATATTGTTTCTTCACCATTTGGGTTGATTATATCCTGAACAAATGGTCATCATCAATTGTAGAATGGGAATGGGTGTGGGACACAGAGAACCATCTCAGACAATGGGGTTTGTCAACTTCATCAACACACAGACCACAGCTGTGACAACATGAGCAACTTCATTTACAGTAAGAGTGGTAAACTGTAACAGGATAAAAGGTTTAAGAGTTGGATGTTCTGGGTTTATTCTCATCTCCAGGTGCTTGGGTGACAGCAACGGACCTGCCAGAGGTCCTCGGGAACCTGAGATGCAACCTGTCCAGAAACACACGGGGCCGCTGCAGATACACCCCGCAGGTGGCGGAGCTCTCTTGGGGTCATGAGCTCGAGAAGACCTTCCCTCATTCAGTCTACAGATACGACTACATCTTAGCAGCCGATGTGGTCTATCATCATGACTTCCTAGAAGAATTACTGGTCACCATGCGCCATTTCTGCCAGCCCGGAACAACCCTCATATGGGCCAACAAGACCCGCTTTGATTCAGATCTGGTTTTTGTGGAGAACTTCAAAAAAACATTCAACACCACCTTGCTGGCAGACAACGGAGAAGTTAAAATTTACTCTGCCACCATGAAAGACGAAAGTGCACTAGTGACGTCAAAAGAGACCGAAGGGGTTGCGAAGAAACAAGTCAAAGACGTTGACAAGAACGAGTCAAAGCAAGAGATTAGGTAAAAGGTCAAACAAAAGGCTGTAGAACAGGTTCAAGAATATGATAATAAAGATGTGCAAAGGAAACCAGGATATGTTGTTATGGAAAATCGGGAGGAAACGTTAAAATTGGAAGATAGAAATGTAAACAATAACAAAGAAGAAGAGGAGGAGGAGCACAACACGGATCTTGAAAGTGAGGACAGTGGAGACGGCAGCTCTGAGACGGATTCAACATTCGTAGAGCAGAAATCGGGTCAGTAATACATTCTGAACATTAGACCACAGTCACTTGTCTAATGCATTAAAGTCTGATTTGGCCTTTTCTTTCAGAGAAAGGAAGCACAGAGAATGAGAACGTGAGATCATTGGCACCGGCAATTTACTACAGACCTGAGAAAGAAGTTTACCATTTTTTGGGACAGAAAATCACAATTGAGGAGTCCATCGATTCTTACGGTGCTACTATATGGCCAGCGGTGAGACACTTACAGCTGCAGAAATAATGAGAGACAAATACACAGAGTATATCTACGAAGACATTAGTAACCAAAGAACTTTACTTTTGTGTGATGCTGCATCCAAGGCAATCAGTATCAGTATAAAGTCCAAGATAACAGGCGTAGAGTCAAGCAAAACAAACATGGTGCACCTTTAAACTTTCAACATTATAATGATACTTTCTCCTATCCACCAAATGGTCTAAATTTGGCTCCCTGTCTCCAATGCCCAACCATTAAAATATATCAGGACCCTACAGAGAGTTTTGACAGTCATAATGACAGTCAAGAAACTGGAGAAGATACAGAGAGGATTTAGGGGCCGTTAACCAGCGTTGACCTCATGCGGCCCCCAGAGATATAATGAGTGTTATATTGGGTTTCCCTTCTGTGGAATCCATTTAGCACATACCAACTGGCTGGAATCAGAGAAACCGATAGGGACCGAATTAATGGGCAAAAAACAATCTCACATAAATCTGAATTTCACATGTACATATGCACCGCAAAAAACAACAAAAATATATACATATGCATTAAAAAAACAATACATTGTGTGCAAGGAAGTACAATGAATAATGCAATGAAGTATATATTATTACAAATATGTTATGTCTTAATTAGGGGACCTTATTGTATCTGTTGGTTTTCTTATTATTCATCCTGAATGGGAGTCTATGGCAGCCCCATTAACCATACATAGCAAAATGATGACATTTGGTACACTGATAGAGGTGGTTCTGCATAGTACTCTGACCAATTTTGGGGTCTCTAGGACAAACTCTGTAGCGCCACCACAGTTTCAAAAATCCACTTTTCTTGTGGTTATAATAACTTTTGAACTCTTTGTTCCAGAGAGAAAATAATACTCCTTACATGAAGACTCATTACAGTAGTCGCCTTTTTTAAAAGGACTATATTGTTTTTTTTTTCACTGCTACTCCTTCAAATCAAACACAGTCCACCTTTAAAATGTGATTTTTGTCTTTCCATATAGGCACTTGCACTTTGCCGATTCTTGGAAACCCCACAGGGTCGTCAACAGATTGATTTACTCGACAAATCAGTTCTTGAGCTTGGAGCTGGAACCGGCTTACTTTCAGTTGTCGTCACGCTGTTGGGTAAGTGTTGTGATGAGATTGAGGTGTCAATCTTATTGGTTTTGTATCTTGCAAGATAATAACTGAAATTGCTCTGTAGGTGCCAAACTAACAGCCACGGATTTGCCCGAGATTCTGAGTAAACTGACATGCAACCTCAACAGGAACACGAGAGGCCGGAGGAGGCACGAGCCCCAGGTAGCAGAACTCTTCTGGGGTCACAAGCTGGACGAGGCCTTCCCTAGATCCACACACCAATATGATTATGTGTTGGCGACTGATGTGGTGTATCACCACGACTTCTTGGCCGAGCTGCTGGTCACCATGCGCCACTTCTGCCAGCCGGGAACTACTCTAGTCTGGGCGAACAAGGTCCGCTTTGTCTCGGATCTGGGCTTCATCGACAACTTCCTCCGATATTTTGATATCACACTGCTTGAAGAGTTGGATGACGTGAGGATTTACGTAGCAACCAGCAAGATATCAGAGAAGGAAGGTGACCAGGTTCAAGAGACTAGCGAGGAAGTGGAGGACAACGGTGACCTTGAGTCAAGCAAGCGGGACGCTGGGGAACCGAACTCTATGAGCGAGACTGGAGACAATGCAGAGGAACTGGAACCAGAGCAGGAATCTGACGATACTCAGAGTTTAGAAAACGATGCGAAGGAGAAACAAGTACAGGAAGAACTCCAGGACTCTGGAAGATCTGTGGAGGAAGAAGGTTAGGCTTGCAAACTGGGAATTGTACCAAGGTGAACATGATTCCCAATGTACTTCGTTGTTGATCCTGGAACATTCAAATTATTCAATCAGATTTGAGGGACAAATTTACAGATTAGGCAACCAAGGGTTAGGTGCTTCTAACATTATTGTTTCCCCACTATAATTTTCCTGATTTTAAGGATGTTATGGTTAGGTTTAAGGATAGGGCTATTCTTGTCAGTCAGGAATGTTATCCAGGATCAAACAAAATATGTTGATCATGGAACATGTCTTACCTGGCAAAATCATATTGACCCTAATACCAATGTGCTTATATGGATACTTATTTGATGGGATACTCCTATTCTGTCTTTCCCTCAGCTGAACCTGACATCACAGAAACACCTAAACAGAGACCCTGGGCTCCCACTGTCTACTACAGTAATGGCAAGGAAACCTACTACTTTCTAGGTCATGAAATCAGGATTCAGGAATCCGTAGACCATTATGGCAGCACGGTATGGCCAGCGGTGAGCATGAAACATTCAGCCAACCAATCAGATCAGGAAGAAACTGTGTGTGCTTAGTGAGACGGTAAAATGCATGGAGTCTATGAACACTTTGGTTTTGAATGTCGTAGGCTTTGGCCCTTTGCCGATTCCTGGACACCCCGACAGGCCGACAGCAGATCAATCTCCTCGACAAACTGACCCTGGAGCTCGGAGCGGGAACGGGTATTCTCTCGATAGTTGCCACACTTCTGGGTAAGTCTTGGGGAGTGTTTTTGATACACACACCAAACAAGAGAAAACGCATCTCAAACCCCGTTGCACACCGTTTTCCACTGGCATGAAATTGGTTTGACGTTGGACTTTCGATATTCACGTATTTAGGGACCGTCTCTAAAGTTACATGCGACATTGCGACAGGGCCTATAAACGTCGCTAACTTCAATTGCATTTGAAGACAATGACCTACAGTCATAAAACCCACTGTAAAGTGTTCATCCGGGTCTCGGGTATGATGCACACCTTTTAGATTTGTGATATTTATGACAATAAACTGTTAAAACATAAATATTGCTATGTACTTCACTACTGTATGGGTTAATACACAAAATATGACAATTTAAAGCTCAATAGCATTTGAAGAAGACAATGACTTAGAGTCATAAAACCAACTGTAAATTGTTCATCTAGGTGTCAAATATGATGCACACCTTTTAGATTTTTTATTTTTTTTGACAATAAACTGTTAAAACATATAAATGTTTCCAGCAAACATGTCGTTCAACCCTGAAACCGTAGCAAAACGAGCTTGAACCTGGTTTCAGAACAAGCAGGACTAAGTGATGTCACTGATTTGCAGGTGCTAAACTGACGGCCACGGATCTCCCAGAAATCCTTGGCAATCTGAGGTCCAACTTGAACCGGAACACCAGGTGTCATAGGAGACACGAGCCTCGGGTTACAGCGTTGGCATGGGGCTACAAACTGGAGGAGACGTTTCCCCGCTGCACACACCACTACGATTACGTGCTGGCCGCCGATGTGGTCTATCACCACGACTATCTCCCCGAGCTCCTCGACACCATGCGTCACTTCTGCGGTCCGAAGACCACGCTGATCCTCGCAAACAAGGTCCGGTATCAGGCCGACCTGGTGTTTATAGGGGACTTTCAGAAAGCTTTTAACACTACATTGCTGACAGAGATGGATGAGGTGAGGATTTACTCGGCTACCATGAGAATCTGATGACTTCATGCACCGCTTTAAGAAGGCTTTCCAAACTACACTGCTGGCAGAGGTAGAGGAGCTGAAGGCGTGCGTGTTCACACTGCAGACAATTCACTTTTGTTTTTAGAAACAATATTTAGGGCTGACTGTGAACACTGACATTTATAAATCATCAAATCAGCATTTTTAGGCTATGTAGTGAAGACTCTGGCCAAAACCTTCAACAACGATTTAGCAGTGTAATAATAATTGGACTGTACAAATAAAACTGACATGTTGTGATTGACACAATCCTTTGAATCAGACATTTTAGATTTAGATCAGATTTCAAACCACAATGACTGCCCAATAAAAAATAAAAATAAATTTTCAACTCAAATCAACTTATTTACCTGTGGTTTTGAATAACAAAAAAAAATTATTTAATGTTTTTGCCGTTTACACTACTGTATATGTGTGTGTTTTTATAGATTCCAGTATGAAGTGTCAGATCGATATTTAATCACGTTTGTCATCTTTCAACTGGTCAGATTTGAATCGGACTGAATATGAGCATTCTGATTTGATCAATTGCAAAATAACAGTATGAAGTAACTGAGTAATTCCTCAAAAAACAATTCTGAATTGTCTGCATTGTAAATAAAGCCATGCTGATGTTAAAATAAATATGGCTGCTGAAGGAAAATAAGTTTGTGCACATTAGCACAAAATTATTAAACAATAAAAAGAGACAAGACAACAGACATATAAAATACGAAGTCTTACCGTGCCTTGATGGATAATGTTGTGCTTAAAGTCCGCCTGTAGTCAATCATTTTATCCCTTAAAACTCATCTTTGATCACCAAAATTACATATTTAAACGTTAGTATGCGCGGTTCTATGAATATGCAAATGAGCCCCGCCTCCACTCACTCGCTCAGCTCAGCTCAGAGATCCAATGGTTGGCAATCACACGTTGCTCTGATTGGTAACAAGGTCGTTTGTGACGTCAGAAACACCAGCGATTTCAAACCGTGTTTTTGAGACTGTCTTTGGTTCACTGCAGTTTTAAGCAGAAAATACTCAGCAATGCTGTCGACTTATGAACTTACACATGGTTTAAGCGTATTAAAAACACCACATAGACACATAAACAACATTAAAAACTTGATTTTCACCGCAGGGGGACTTCAACAAATCAAGTTAATTTCAGATAAAATACTGTACATTTCTTAGTGAAAATTATGAATCTTATCCCCTTTCAAAGTTTTTAGAATGGGAAAAACTATTTTCAAAATGTATCTGGAAAGGGAGGAAACCCAGAATTAAATTAGTTTTATATAATGTTAGTTATATCTTTTAGAATAGTGTTTTGCAGTGGGTTTGTTTGTGTGGTATTTTATTTTTTATTATTATTTTCATATAGGGATTGTATAAGATTTATCATTGTCAAAGGTATAAAAATAGATTCTTTGGTTTGACTTGTTAATCCTTTAATGCAATCAATATATATTTTTGGATTCTTTAAGTGTTTTACATTGAGCATTTGTGTATTTCCCTATACTGCTGTTTTTTTTTTGATAAATAAAAAGAAATGCAAAAAAAAAAAAAAATTTATGAATTATTGTGCTATGCACAGAACCATAAACATCCATGATATCCCAAATATTGTTTAGCATATCATAGAAAGCTAAACGCCAATTTAAAAAGGTAAACAATTTAAAAAAAAAAAAACATTTGTAAAAAAATGCAATTCTGTTGTTCTTAACATGAATAGCTCCTGAATAAAGCCTGTTTGTCACAAAAATTAGGAATATGTTGTCCGTTCCAGATCATTTTATTCAGAATCTTCATCAAATACACCGTTCAGCACATTTACCCCGTTTACAAAATAACCGTCTGTAACATCTGAAACGTCTCGCGAGGAGAACTGGATATAAAATAACACCTACCTACTCTACGCATGAATTAAAATGACTTTAAAATATTGGCATTACCTAGTATTCATTTATACTTTATAAATACAAGACATCCATAAATATATCTGAAGATATTCAAGGGTTTTTGATACAGAATAACGTGATATTTCCTGAAGAAACGCAGGGGTTGACGGGAGATTGCGCATATTTAAGGCCATTATTGAAGAACCTCTGGTTGGAAACGCCTCCAGCCCTGAACATCAACAACGCAAACACACGTGATTAAAATAAAAAAAATAAAAACGTGAAAGCAGGATATGATGTCACGTCTGGTTCCTGGTGAAAACTTGAGTTGCTGGCTTTTTTGCTTTTTTTTTAATGGTTTTCAGTGTCTAAACCCTGAATGATATTCCAGACACACAAGATGACAATCTCTGTTTCACTTAAAATCCAGAAGAAAACTGAGGATAGACGACTTTCAATCACACAGTCTTACTTCAGACGGCACAAAACTGAAAGCCATGAACATAAAATGACCCTCGTGTCTTTATAAAACATGCATACATTTGACATACACAAAGGTCAATCACAACAAAACAAAAAAAATTCACCCCCAAAAAATTTTAAAAAAGAAAAGAAAAGAAATGATATTTTCTTATATTGACATTCCACCCACAAAACTCAACTGGACGTCCATCATATTGCCTTGTATATTTGCACTGTTGTTGTTGTTGAGGGAAAAATGTCCACCGAGCAAAAGCCCAGAAATCACATTTCAAACAACATAATGCAGGTTATTATACGACGAACACAGATATGATAGGAACTGTGTGTGTGCAGAGATCCGCACGCAGGAAGGCATTATGGGATCCGTGTGATATGAGGTGTTTGGTTTCTGATGTTTCCAGAAGGCATTGAGAGTCTCCTCAGTTTAAGACGTTAGAACGGTGTGAAGTCCGACGGGAACATGATGGGCAGCCAGTTCTCCGTGTAGGAGACGCAGTGAGACCAGCCCAGAGAACGCAGCAGCTGAGGGACACAACAACTCGTTAACTCATCGTTAACTCAACGCATCCTCAACTCACCAGTAACAATAACTCATCAGTATTAATAACAACTCACCTCGTCGGTAACTCGTCAGTAACACGGTAACTCGTCGGTAACTCGTCAGTAACAGTAACTCGTCGGTAACTCGCGTCAGTAACAGTAAATCGTCAGTAACAGTAACTTGCGTCAGTAACAGTAAATCGCAAGTAACTTGTCAGTAACGGTAACAGTAGTAGTAGCAGTAACAGTAACTCGTCGGTAACTCGTCAGTAACACGGTAACTCGTCGGTAACTCGTCAGTAACAGTAACTCGTCAGTAACTCGCGTCAGTAACAGTAAATCGTCAGTAACGGTAACTCGCGTCAGTAACAGTAAATCGCAGGTAACTTGTCAGTAACGGTAACAGTAGTAGTAGCAGTAACAGTAACTCATCGGTAACGGTAACTCGTCGGTTACGGTAACTCATTGGTAACTCGTCAGTAACGGTAACTCGTCAGTAACGGTAACTCGTCAGTAACGGTAACTCGTCAGTAACGGTAATTCGTCGGTAACTCGCATCGGTAACAGTAACTCGTCGGTAACTCGGGTCAGTAACAGTAACTCGTCGGTAACTCGCGTCAGTAACAGTAAATCGTCAGTAACGGTAACTCGCGTCAGTAACGGTAAATCGTCAGTAACGGTAACTCGCGTCAGTAACAGTAAATCGTCAGTAACGGTAACTCGCGTCAGTAACAGTAAATCGTCAGTAACGATAACTCGCGTCAGTAACAGTAAATCGTCAGTAACGGTAACTCGCGTCAGTAACAGTGACTCGCGTCAGTAACGGTTACTCGTCGGTAACTCGCATCGGTAACAGTAACTCGTCAGCAACAGTAACTCGTCTGTAACTCGCGTCAGTAACAGTAAATCGTCAGTAACGGTAACTCGCGTCAGTAACAGTAACTCATGTCAGTAACAGTAACTCGTCAGTAACGGTAACTTGTCAGTAACAGTAACTCGTCAGTAACGGTAACTCGCGTCAGTAACGGTAACTCGTCGGTAACAGTAACTCGTCGGTAACTCGCGCCAGTAACAGTAACTCGTCAGTAACTCGCGTCAGTAACAGTAAATCGTCACTAACGGTAACTCGCCGGTAACTCACATCAGTAACAGTAAATCGCAGGTAACTTGTCAGTAACGGTAACAGTAGTAGTAGCAGTAACAGTAACTCGTCGGTAACTCGTCAGTAACGGTAACTCGCGTCAGCAACGGTAACTCGCGTCAGTAACGGTAACTCGTCGGTAACTCGCATCGGTAACAGTAACTCGTCAGTAACGGTAACTTGTCAGTAACGGTAACTCGTCAGTAACGGTAACTCGCGTCAGTAACGGTAATTCGTCGGTAACTCGCATCGGTAACAGTAACTCGTCGGTAACTCGCGTCAGTAACAGTAACTCGTCGGTAACTCGCGTCAGTAACAGTAAATCGTCAGTAACGGTAACTCGCGTCAGTAATGGTGACTCGCGTCAGTAACGGTTACACGTCGGTAACTCGCATCGGTAACAGTAACTCGTCAGTAACAGTAACTCGTCGGTAACTCGCGTCAGTAACAGTAACTCGTCAGTAACGGTAACTCGTCGGTAACTCGCATCGGTAACAGTAACTCGTCGGTAACTCGCATCGGTAACAGTAACTCGTCAGTAACGGTAACTTGCCGGTAACTCGTCAGTAACGGTAACTTGCGTCAGTAACAGTAACTCGTCGGTAACTCGTCAGTAACGGTAACTTGCGTCGGTAACAGTAACTCGTCGGTAACTCGTCAGTAACAGTAACTCGTCGGTAACTCTTCAGTAACAGTAACTCGTCGGTAACTCGTCAGTAACAGCAACTCGTCAGTAACAGTAACTCGTCGGTAACTCGTCAGTAACAGTAACTCGTCAGTAACGGTAACTCGTCGGTAACTCATCAGTAACGGTAACTTGCGTCAGTAACGGTAACTTGCGTCAGTAACGGTAACTCGTCAGTAACAGTAACTCGTCAGTAACGGTAACTCGACAATAACGGTAACTCGTCGGTAACTCATCAGTAACGGTAACTCGACAGTAACGGTAACTCGTCGGTAACGGTAACTCGACAGTAACGGTAACTCGTCAGTAACGGTAACTCGTCAGTAACGGTAACTCGACAGTAACGGTAACTCGTCGGTAACTCATCAGTAACGGTAACTCGACAATAACGGTAACTTGCGTCAGTAACGGTAACTCGTCGGTAACTCGTCAGTAACGGTAACTCGACAATAACGGTAACTTGCGTCAGTAACGGTAACTCGTCGGTAACTCGTCAGTAACGGTAACTCGACAATAACGGTAACTCGTCAGTAACGGTAACTCGTCGGTAACTCATCAGTAACGGTAACTCGACAATAACGGTAACTTGCGTCAGTAACGGTAACTCGTCGGTAACTCGCGTCAGTAACTCGTCTAATTAATACTTTCATTCATCAAGGACGCATCAATTTGATCAAAAGTGACATTTATAATGTTACAAAAGATTCAATTTCAAATAAATGCTTTTGGACATGTTTCTTGAGCATCAGATCATCACATTAGAGTGATTTCTGAAGGATCATGTGACACTGAAGACTGGAGTACAGGAATAAATGACACTTTACTGTATATTCACATAGAAAACAGCTGATTTACATTAGAATAATATTTCACTGTTTTACTGTATTTGTGATCAGATAAATAGAGCCTAGTTAAGACGCTTACCTGTGTGCAGTTCTTCCAGTTCTCTTTGCTGGGTTTGTCCTCGACGATCTTAGTCGCGTACTTCAAGGCCCTCGCGTACATTTTGTTTGCCAGCGCGTGTTTGTAGGAAAATGTTAAAACCTGCAGACAGGAAATCATTGCGTCAAATAAAACAGCAGATATCAAATCAGGAGTCAAATCAAATCAAGTCAGCTTTATTTCTACAGCGCTTCACAGCACAGAGTGTTTCACAGCAGCTTTACAGAGATAACAGGAGAATAATGCAGCAAAGTTTGTTTCCAGAAGAGAATAGCGTCTCAGTCCAGCTTAAGTCAGTTCAGTGATGCTTCATTTCTGTTGTAATAAAGTTATTAATTTAGTTCATATATATATATATATATATATATATATATATATATAGCGTCACTGGAGAAAACCGTGATGTCATCGTCCAGTTCAGTTCTCATATAATGCTGTCAATGCAGGAGATCAATAATATTGCTGAATATTAAATTAAGGAGTCAGTCCTGAGCAGCGCACCTTAGAGTCGGTGAGCTCCGCCCACTTCTGCACCTCCCAGAAGGTGTCAGTCAAAGCTTTGGCCACGCCCCCCGGCTCATCCTCAGACCCGCCCACTTCTCCAGCGCTGGCACCGTCCTGATCCACCGGCTCCATCAGCTGATCGGCCAGAGCACAGCCCTTCCGGCACAGAGCGTCCAGCAGAGACGCCTTCTGCTTCTCCATGTCACTGTAGAACACACACGCCATTAACACCATGAATACTCCACTACCGTGATTAACACCACTAACACTCCATTAACGCCAGTACAACTTCATTTACGTCATTGACACACATTAACACCCCATTAACACCAACAACACCCCCATTAAAACCAACAACACCCCCATCAACACCAACGGTGGTACCCCATTGACAACACTGACACCCCATTAACCCCATTAACACCATCACAACTCCATTAATGAGATTAATACTTCATTAACACTTCATCAACGCCACTAACACCACATTAAAGCCACTAATACCCCATTAACTCCATATAGACCAAAACCACTTTTTGTACCAGACTGTAAACATGTTTTTTCTGCTGTAAAGTTGGGCATTTTAACATGCGGGTCTATGGGACTGAGTCTCTTCTGCAGCCGGCCTCTAGTGGCCAGTGGAGGAACTGCAGTTTAAGTCACTTCAGTGTTGGATTCAAGAGAGAGACAGGATTGTTTTTGGCCCAGAATGCAGTGCTGCAGGCATGAACGGTGGCTCTGTACCTCTTGATAGTGACAGCATCTGGCCGCGGGTCCGTCTTCATGCTAAGGTAAACGGCCAGCGCCGTCGGGTCGATGTGTGACATCACCGTATCGGCCGCCGCCGCGATCTCCCCCAAACGCTTCGATCGCTCCTGCGTGAGACAGAGGGAGTCGGTCACGGGGTTTGAGCAGATTCAACCCAACAAATGTATTTCAGTCCTCACAGATAATTCTCCATAGTAAAGAAGAAAAAAATTGGTACCAGTTTATTTAGGTAACAGCTCGTGAACCGATTAACTATTCCTTCTAGTTCATTTATAGCATCAAATAAACACGAATGAACATCAGAAGGAATGTTGTTTTAACCGTGGAAAGACGTCAGTACACAGTTTATCAAGTTAAAATCCTCCAACGTTAATCTACTAACTCTCCTGACTGCTTTGTTTGACAAAAATGGCAGATTCGGCGGATGGTGTATTATGATTGGTCAAATCGCCTGTCAATCAAAGTCCCTTCACGAAGGGTGGATTCCAGGTGGATGGGTCTGATCGGAGCGGTACCTTCTCGGAGTCGAGCTGATGGAGTCTCTGGACGTGCAGTGGGAGATGTGTGGGAAACGCCTCCTTCAGCTCCTCGTACAGCGAACCACTGTCCAACCTGAACACACAGGATCAACTTCCTCCATGAGAACCATGACCTTTGACGAGCTTTGCTCCAGGACATCATTACACACTAACTGTGACTATATCAACATGCAATATTGCTGACGAAAAAACAGACAAGACTAAAGTGTAGTTTAAACATTATATCTCTATAAAAAAAAAAAATATTATAGATGCTTTAAACAAGCCACTTCGAGCTTTCACGTGTGTGTGGTTGCCAGTTCTCAAGAGTTTAAATCCCCCAATCAGACCTTTTTTAATCCCCCTGCGGTGAAAATCAAGTTTTTTTAATGTTGTTTATGTGTCTATGTGGTGTTTAAGACACACCATGTGTAAGTTCATAAGTCGACAGCATTGCTGAGTATTTCCTGCTTAAAACTGCAGTGAACCAAAGACAGTCTCAAAAACACGGTTTGAAATCGCTGGTGTTTCTGACGTCACAAACGACCTTGTAACCAATCAGATCAACGTGTGATCGTCAACCAGTGGATCTCTGAGCTGAGTGAGTGGAGGCGGGGCTCATTTGCATATTCACAGAACCACACATACTAAATGAGGCGAGGGTGTCGAGTTACATTCAAGATATTTTAAGGCATGAAGATTTTTTTCCAGGAAAAAACATTTAAATATGTAATTTTGGTGATCAAATATGAGTTTTAAGTGATATAATTATTGATAACAGGGGGACTTCTCAATCTGGCAACCCTCAAGCGCAGGTGATCTGAGAGGTCGACTGAATATGATGATAACTAAAGGACATCTGAATTAAAAAGCTCTGGTGATTCTGGAGTCGTTAACGGATGAAAACACAGAGTTAACGAGTGAACACTGACTTGGTCATCCACTGGATCTTCAGGTCTCGCAGCGCTTCGCTGAACTCGTCCTTCACGTCTTTCTCCTTCTCCGCATCTTTCTCCTTCTCTTTGCCATTCTTGGTTTTGTTGGGAGCAGGAACCAGGTGGTAAAAGATCGGCACGATGTCCTGCGTGGGAACGAGAGCAAAGATGTGAATCACATTACCCACAAATCCATCTGTTCATGTGAATGCGACTGACTGACGCTAACATAATCGTGAGAAACGCATCAATATACAGCCAGACTCGGGTATGAAACGCCAACTAATGACTTTACGGCAGCGGGACGTGTTTATATTGTTTACGTGCGAGAGCGATGAAGACGCGCGAAATAAATGATATAAAATGCGTATCAAGTTAAAAATTAAATAAAAAGAATAAAATAGTTAAATTAAGGCAAGACACCACAGGTGAACAGAGTAAAAACTATCAGATATTCCCTCGCTGATTAATCACAGTACATTAAGGCAACTGTTTTATATCGCAAGTGTGTTATGTTTAAATATGCAAATGAGCCATTAACTAATTAAATATGCACTAATCTGCATACAGTTCCAGAACAGAATTGTGAACATTGGATAAAGTCAGGTTCAAAACTAGTTTGATTTTGTTGACATTTAAGAGTTTTCCAGAGTCAAATAAATGTATCACTCATTTCATTTTTACCATATTTTTAGAGTAAAATGTTGCATAAACAGGCGAATAGTATATGAACAACCCTTCAGAATATAGATATGAAAACATCTGTAAAGTTTGGTTTCTGACTCGAACTCTCTGTCTTTAAAGATTAAATACAGATGCCAATTGATAAAGAGCAATAAAATAAACTCTTAAATGTGTGTTTTGGATGTTTTTCTTCCACTAGTCACGTGTTATGGAAGCAGAATAGAGCAAAACTGAGCAGTGCGTGAAAACACTGGTTTAGCCGGTAGAGTCTCGCCTTAAATTAATTGCACAGGGTTTCATTTAATGGATTATCAAACATTAACACATGATTATCGCATATAGAAAGCATTTACTGGTGGATTTCCAGTGATACAAGATATTGGTCAAACTGGCCAGCACTAGTGTGTGTGAATACTGCCTTTAAAGGGATAGTTCAGCCTAAAATGGAAATAAAGTCATCGTTTACTCTCCCTGCTGTTGTTCTAATGCCGCATGTACGCACTTTTTTTCTTTTTCGGACCACAAAGTGAATATCGACCAGCATCAAGCTTTTAAAAAAGACTCAGAAATATCCAAGAATGATCCGATGGGACGCGTGTCGTATGTTCCACATGTTCAATATTGATTATTGATGATTCATTATTTAAATGATAATAAAATGTGTTTTTCTGTGCGAGTCAGAGTCTCATGAATAAAGTCAAGCGCAGAAGATCAACGGCAGGACCTTCATTAAATAATACATTACGTTTCAGTTTGTTTTTCAGCAAATCCTATCATAAACCCCCAGAACATGTGTCGCATCGGGTCATTCTGCGATACGTTTGAGTGTTATTAAAAAGCTGGTCGATATTCACTGTCATTTATATGAACGAGCGCGAACAAACACCCTATGTCATGTTCACTATGAGTGCTAAACAAGAGCTAAAACACTACAGTGCATGCAAATAATCTACACTATTACCAAATGCAATTCATTCTTAGGGAACATGCTTTGAAATATTCTTATAAATATTGAGAAAATGGGTTAAAAAATATTCTTAAAAATAATAAAAATATTAAAGGGGTCTGCTTTATAATGTTTCCAGGGGTGCACTTATAATGTTAGTATGATTTTTACATCAAAAATGTAACAATTCCAGTTCTCAAGGTTAACTAATGGTGAAAAGTGTTGATTACAGCACTATATTTCGATCGTGGCGTGAAAGGTTGCAGTGACGAGCATGTAGCCGATAACACTAACGCATGCTTTCTTCAGAACAGTGCAAACACGATGTGAATAAGAGATTCGTTGATTATAACGGGAGTCCAGATCTCAGTCACTGATAAACTCGAGCGGTTTGATTGACAGCTTGATTGAAGGGAGCGTCTTTGAACACTTTCTATATAATTTAGTAAGAGTTTAAGTTCTCCTTCTGTGGTCCGCAAAAGAAAGAAGGGTGTACGGCATTGAGGGTGAGTAAATGATGACTTAATTTAACGTGAACGATCCCTTTAAATGGATCTTCAAATTGAGCCCCTGCAGCTTCTCATTATGTGATGTTACACAGTTCTTTCGAATCTCTACCCGTTCAGTACCTTTTTAAATTTTCCTTGTCGTTTGGCTGATGCTTGTCCCTGCTGGTCAGAATAACACACATCAGAGAGAGAAGCACACACACACACACACACACACACGCTCTCTGTCCTCTCTATCCTCTGCTCTCTACTCCTTCACATCATCATGATTCACTGTAAGTGCAGCAGTTCAGTTGATAATGACAGTGAGATGATCATATACAGGACAGTGAGATGATCATATACAGGACAGTGAGACGAGCTCAGAAGCAGATGCTTCATCAGTGAAATGGTGCTGGTGTTCAGCTGATGTGTTTAGTCAAGTCAAGTCACCTTCATTTATATGGCGGTTTAATAACACAGATTGTTTCAAAGCAGCTTTACAGTGAAAATAGGTAAGTAAAGTAAAGTAGTTTAGGGCTGGACAGTACAGCATTTGAACTCGCTCTGGATTAAAGCATGCCCAAATAATGCACAGATGTAAATATTGTAAACTCAACTTTTGAATGACATACCGGTATCGTCGTATGGTCTATCGGGAACCAGCACCATGACAGTGAAAAAGCAGCAAATGTGAAAGACATGCTCGAATCACAAGCTGCTGTTTCTTTGTTACAAGATTTATACGTGAAGTCATTGAGAAGCACAACCGCCACCAGCCGTGAAATCAGAACAGAAATCAATCACTGATCAAATATTGAACACACGCGAGTAGGGGTGTGTGATACGCATCATCAATGAAAATATCACATTTAATGATGTGGACGCGTACACTGAGTGTGTCACTCGTGTAAAAGCAAACAAACAGTGAAAGCCCATGCTTTGGTTGTGTGATGAAGTCTAGTAGAATGAAGTGAGAACGACTCTAAAACCTAAAACCATATATTTATTTTTAGTCTTATACTTCTATATGATAGTCACATTTGTCTGTTATAAAGTCACAATTGTGTGATATAACAGTATAATTGACTTATATAGCTTACATAAGCTATGTAAGTCCATTATATAGACTTTATAACACACAATTGCGACTTTATATCACACAATTCTGATAAAAAAGTCAAAATTGTGAGATATAAAGTCGCAATTACCTTTTTTATTTTTTATTCTGTGGCGGAAACAAGCGTCTATATACACCAGCCCACAAACACACTAATTTACTTATTGTTACCGACAAAATCCCCCAAAATACGGAGTATTTATAATTATAATTTTCTGCCAGTATCGCACACCCCTGCATGAGACGGGTCTGAAACACAGACGGGCCGATGTGGGCCGAGCGGCAGCATGCAGATCTACAAGGAACGTTGTGTTTGAGGACTCACTGCTTTTTTGCCGAACTCACTCTTGGGCAGAACCAGCGAGCCGGTGATGTATCCGCCTGGACCGGCACCTTTAGGGATCCTGGAACACAAACACAAGCATCTGCATCCTCTGACCGATTTTTTTAATTAACCAAAAATAACATTTCATTTTCTTGCAGGAATAACATTCATATGCTTCTGAATCCTATATGTTTCCAAACCTTTTGGTCAAAAGCACTCAAGTCAGTGTCTGCATGTTAGTGAATCATGTCTGAATATAACAAAAGGGGAAATTAAACTAGACATATCTAAATTTATAAACTCGTGACTGAGTAACAAAGTGAAGCAATCAAGAAAACAAGAGTTTGCTTCTACCAAGTAACAGAAGGGTTTGCATATGAAGAACCAATCAGATTGTAGGGAAATTATATAATGCATCATGTCACTTTTGCCATGCTTCTATTCTATAAAAACTGCTGTATTCTTTTTGCTGGTGGGATTCTCTCTGTAATTGGTCTGAGATCCTCCGGCCGTGATTAAAGCATATTCGAAGGTAATGTCTGGAGTCTGTTTAGGTAATGCTGTGCAACAGGTTAGTGGAGCACTAGAGACCTTATTCCCAAGTGATAGTGGTTAGGCAACTATAATTCTTAAGCATTTTTATGCAGTCAGAATAGCTACTCTTAGGCGGCAACCAACACGGTCAGAGGTGAACTCACCCGAGTATCATTTTTGAAAGTGTCTGGAGACGCCCCAGGTAAACTTAAAGGGGCAGTCTGTAAGTATGACAGCTTGTGGTCGAAATCGGTACTGCAGTCCAAATTCAAAATATCCGAGATCGTTGTTTCCCTGCCTCCTCAGACTAAACACTCACGCTGGTTGCCAGATTGAGGACACACAACAGGAACGAGTGCGATTGACAACGAAAGCCAAGGAGACTTACACACTAAGTTAATGAGTTGATTTATCCATGTTTTTATATGCTCTCGTTCAGAGTTTTTAAATGGATAGAGGCTTTTTAGGTTGTATGGAATCTGCCATCTCTGACCCAGTTTGTTTGCTTGTTTCCAAGGCTGTAATACGCTGTGTTTCCTGCTAACTGACACCCCGGGGTGTCGAAATACTAATGGGTGAACTGGCAGTGGGCGGAGTCACACAGACCAAAACAAAAACCGACTGACAACACAGAAACGCACATTTCAAAGTAAAATATCTTTTGTGTTTTTCAGAGAAACGAGGATGTGAACTTAGCATGTTTCCTAAATATCTGCAAACATATGGTATTTTTTATGATTTAGTAGAGTAAAAATAGTTACATACAGCACCTTTAAAGGGGTCGTCAGATGCCGATTTTCCACAAGTTGGTATGATTCTTTAGGGTCTTCATGTAAAAGTTTGTAATATACTTTGGTTAAAATTCCTCAATGGTTGTGTAAAACAACACACTCTTTACCTCCTCAAAAACAGCTCTGTTCACAGCGACCCGTTAAATGATAATGAGGTGCATGTCTCTTTAAATGATAATGAGGTGCATGTCTCTTTAAATGATAATGAGGTGCATGTCTCTTTAAATGATAATGAGCAACTGCTCTCTTCCATGGGGGGTGTCGACACAAGACTCGTAAAGTGATGCCTTGGCGGACAGTAAACAAATGGCTGAGGGCGTAAATATGTTAATACGGGAAATGGAGTTGTTAAAAAGTACCGCCTATTGTACTCACACGCTCATCGGATATGTCTGTGATTGGCTACAATGATCAGCGCTTCAAAAGCATGTTGTAAACGTACATCAGTGAGGCTCTTCAGCGAGCGCTTGCACAGATACACACGCGAGCGTTTGAAAGCAGGCGTCCATCAGCGGACCGGTCCTGCTTGTGCTTTCAAACACTCCCGCTCCCGTTGTTTAAAACACTTCCGTGTGCTCTCAAACGCTCCCGTGCGCTGTAGCCAATCACAGACAAGTCCGATGAGCGCGTGAGTACAATAGGCAATCAGAGGCGTTTAAGATTCTGCTCAACAGAGCACAAACGGCACATTTTTTACATTTCAGTACAGACTAGTACCGAAGTCTGTACTTTTTGCCAACTCTAACGGGAAATATGCTAATACGGGACAGTCCGTCAGCGGTCGTGGGCGGAGCATGAGCAATATATGATATCATATTGCGCAGAAAATCCAAACGGCTTGATTATTGAGAGTGTTTAGACTTTTTGAGGATTAAAAAAAAAGATTTTGTTCACTGTATGGTGGTTGTGTCACACTGAAAAGACACATTTATATGCAAACACTATATAAAAATGATTTTTGAATCCGATGAACCCTTTAAAAGTTGCATCTCAAACTATGTTACAAGATTAAATTAAGAATACATTGATACATCCTGAGCGTTCCCAGTTCATTGGCTTGTGTGGTTACAGGTCTGAGATCAGTTCAGGTCTGGTGTTCCTCAGGGCTCAGTTTTAGGCCCTTTACTCTTTAATACATTATCACTTTTATGCTGATGATACTCGTGGTTTCTAGAGTCTTACTAGTGTTTTTTGTGTGTATCTGTATCTCTGCAAGCGCTCGCTGAAGAGCCTCATTGATGTATATTTACAACATGTTTTTAAAGCGCTGATCATTGTAGCCAATCACAGACATATCCGATGAGCGTGTGAGTACAATAGGCAATCAGAGGCGTTTACGATTCCGCTCAACAGCGCACAAAGCGTGACTCACATTTAAATCAATTTCAGTATCGACTTTGGTACAATTTTTAGTACCGAAGTCGATACTTTGACAACTCTAATGGGAAATATGCTAATACGGGACAGTCCGTCAGCGGTCGTGGGCGGAGCATGAGCAATATGACATCATATTGCGCAGAAAATCCAAACGGCTTGATTATTGAGAGTGTTTAGACTAAAAAATAAATAAATAAATAAAAAAGAGTGAATGGATTTTGTTCATTGTATGGTGGTTGTGTCACACACTGCAAAGACACATTTATATGCAAACACCATATAAAAGTGGATTTTGCATCCGATGACCCCTGTGGCTAACGGACACTCACTTGTCGTCAGGCAGAGCGGTGATGTAGAAGGGCTGCGAGGCGCCGGGGCTCAGCGTGAGCGAGTTGGACTTCTTCTTGGCCATCATGGCGGCCCGGTGTGTCTCGTAGACGTCCAGCGAGAGTGTGTTGGAGAGCCGGTGCGAGACGAGGAACGGCAGGTCCTTCAGACGCTCGAGCTCGCTCTGCTGCTCGTGACGCACCTGCAGACGCACCGTGTAATCGCCCTTCTCCAGCTTCAGGGAGTACTGAGGGAACAACACATCTCAGAGCCGGGACACACACTGCGGGGCGCAACGGGTCACGCATCCATGGGGCGGATCAATGACGGTTTTTGAGCCACGGATCGGATCATTTTTCAGATCAGCAAAAATAAAAAGTATAAATATAAATATGGGGCTTTATATCTATTACTTAAAGATCACTTGCAAGTTTTTCGATATCACATCAAACACTACTAGCCTAAATGATAAAGTTCAAGCATTATTAAAAACAAGTGAACAGTCAGTAATAAAATAAGAACAAATACACAAATTACAAGCAGAGATTAATACTAAATAACAAAGTCTAACAGTGGTATTCAGGCACAGAAATTAATAATTAAGCCTAAATGTAAAATAACACTATTTATTCACTGTAGAAATTAAATATAGTTTCGTCTTTGTTAAAGCTGTATTTTGTTGTTTTATGAACATTAATGACACAGACGACAGCAGGAATATTAGGCCGCCGTCACTTTAAGACCGAATAAACTGACACAAATCTGGTTTCTTTCTCAACTGTTGACTTATGACGAGTATTTTGACATAATTGTGTGTTTGTGTGTCCGTTAAAGGGCAAGGAAACGCAAAAGTGTAATCAATTAGACCCTCTCTCTGCACGTGTGTGTGTGTGTGTGTGTGTGGCTGTGCGCACATATAATCCTTGAGTCCCGATTTTCGCCTCTTCTTTTGCGTTTAAAATAGTTTGAATGTGTAAATTGGGAAGACAAAACACGTCCAAATGATAAACTTTCACTCAATGCTGATTAAATTTAGCAGTTAATCCACGCAGCACACGCGTGCCGAACGCATCACGGTCACCTGAGATCCGTTGCACCCCTAACACACTGTGCTAAAGAGACGTGCTGCCGAGGTTAGTGTTGTTCTGGGTACCTGGTGTGGGTAGGCATCTCCAGATCCCATGAGCCTCTTGTTCTGGTCAAACAGGAGCCAGAGTTGACTGTCAAACTCAGACTCGTATAATAACTCGCACAGAAGTGGACAGCTGGGCATCACCTCGCCACTCTTGGGCTGAAATATCAACATCAATCAACCATTATGGCAACAACACAAATATATAACTCCTCATTAATGTAAGGACGCAGAGGTAAACACACACCTGATGGAAATTATACGTGAGGACGATCTCGTAGAGCTGTCTGTTGTTGGGTAACACATCCCTGACGCCGAGGGGTTTGACTTTAGCGCTCACAGGCCTATAGAGGAGACACACACACACACACACACACAGTAGAGAGGTTCAGCATGCATATTTCATGAAGACAAGTAAAGTATTGAAACGCATTTCACTTGAAGATCTCCCAGAGGAAGGCTTTAGCTATCTAAAACACCTCATATCCCACTTAAGCTGTATTTATGGGCATTACTGAACATCAATCTGACAGTGTGCATGAGTGTGATGCACAATAGATCAGGAGAGCAAGATGCTTTAAAAAGCTTATGCACATCATAATTGTGTTAAATTGCTGTTCCTAGTAATGTTGAATCAGAATCAGTTCCTCTCGCAGCATCTCTTCTCTTCTCTGATGACGAGGGCGGGGCTTTAACCTGTCACTCACATGAGATCAGCCAATAGCAAACCACAACCATCCAATCAATTCCCCACAGACACAATCAAGCCCCGCCCACATGTGTTCTTGTTCCAGAAGCGCTTCACTCGATATACGACACAATAGAGGAGAAGACCAGTGTAACGCCACTTTCATGACGAGTTTGATGAGCAAATGTCAGAAGAGTGAAACTGAGACGTTTCTGCACATTATTTAGTGTTCTGCGAGGTGTGTGTGGATACCTGAGGGGCTGAACCCAGTTCTTCAATGTGATTGTTGGGGAAACATCTTCATATCTCAATGGAGAACAGACCTCAAAACTAGAAATCCCTTCAGAGGCGTGCTAGATATACAGGAACACACGAACAAGAGTCCTTGATGAACACATCTGACACACGCTGCTTTTAGCACCATGATTTTATTATGATTTGAAAGTCTCTTACACTCACCAAGGCTGCATTTAATTGATCAAAAATACAGTAAAAACAGTGAAATATTATCATAATGTAAATCATCTGTTTTCTATGTGAATATACAGTAAAGTGTAATTTATTCCTGTGATCAAAGCTGAATTTTCAGCATCATTACTCCAGTCTTCAGTGTCACATGATCCTTCAGAAATCACTCTAATATGAGGATCTGATGCTCAAGACACAGTTATGATTATTATCGGTGTTGAAAAGATTTCATATTTTCATGGAAACTGATGCATTATATTTTTAAGGATTTTTAGATGAATAGTAAGTTCAAAAGAACAGCATTTATTTTAAATAGAATCTTTTGTAACATTATAAATGTCAGTTTTGATCATTTTAATGCCTCCTTGATGAATAAAAGTATGAACAGAAAGGTGCTGTGAAATACGTAAGCCTGAACCGACTCACAATATGAAGAGGGGAGGGTGATGTCACCAGCCCGTGGAAGGAAATGACATAATCAATGTTGACGTCACCGAGACTCGCCCACCAGCGAGCGACACACAACTCCAGAGTCCGTCCTGGCTGAGAAACACACAAAGATGAACATGTGACCCGATCGACACAGCAAAACTAATATTAAAGGGATAGTTCACCCAAAAATTAAAATTAGCAACTTTTATCATGGATAGAACCACTTTTATCATAGATAGATGCACTTTTATGATGGATAGATGCACTTTTATGATGGATAGATGCACTTTTATGATGGACAGATGCACTTTTATCATGGATAGAACCACTTTTATCATGGATAGATGCACTTTTATGATGGACAGATGCACTTTTATCATGGATAGATGCACTTTTATCATGGATAGAACCACTTTTATCATGGATAGATGCACTTTTATCATGGATAGAACCACTTTTATCATGGATAGATGCACTTTTATCATGGATAGAACCACTTTTATCATGGATAGATGCACTTTTATCATGGATAGAACCACTTTTATCATGGATAGATGCACTTTTATCATGGATAGATGCACTTATGACAGATAGATGCACTTTTATGATGGATATATGCACTTTTATGATGGACAGATGCACTTTTATGATGGACAGATGCACTTTTATGATGGATAGATGCACTTTTATCATGGATAGATGCACTTTTATCATGGATAGATGCACTTTTATCATGGATAGATGCACTTATGACAGATAGATGCACTTTTATGATGGATATATGCACTTTTATGATGGACAGATGCACTTTTATGATGGACAGATGCACTTTTATGATGGACAGATGCACTTATCATGGATAGAACCACTTTTATCATGAATAGATGCACTTTTATCATGGACAGATGCACTTATCATGGATCGAATAGATGCACTTTTATGATGGATAGATGCACTTTTATGATGGACAGATGCACTTTTATCATGGATAGATGCACTTATCATGGATCGAATAGATGCACTTTTATGATGGATAGATGCACTTTTATGATGGACAGATGCACTTTTATGATGGATAGATGCACTTTTATCATGAATAGAACCACTTTTATGATGGATAGATGCACTTTTATGATGGATAGATGCACTTTTATGATGGATAGATGCACTTTTATCATGGATAGAACCACTTTTATCATGAATAGAACCACTTTTATGATGGATAGATGCACTTTTATGATGGATAGATGCACTTTTATGATGGATAGATGCACTTTTATCATGGATAGAACCACTTTTATCATGAATAGATGCACTTTTATGATGGACAGATGCACTTTTATGATGGACAGATGCACTTTTATCATGGATAGATGCACTTATCATGGATCGAATAGATGCACTTTTATGATGGACAGATGCACTTTTATGATGGACAGATGCACTTTTATCATGGATAGATGCACTTATCATGGATCGAATAGATGCACTTTTATGATGGATAGATGCACTTTTATCATGGATAGAACCACTTTTATCATGAATAGATGCACTTTTATCATGGATAGATGCACTTTTATGATGGATAGAACCACTTTTATCATGGACAGATGCACTTTTATGATGGACAGATGCACTTTTATGATGGACAGATGCACTTTTATCATGGATAGATGCACTTATCATGGATCGAATAGATGCACTTTTATGATGGACGGATGCACTTTTATGATGGATAGATGCACTTTTATGATGGATAGATGCACTTTTATGATGGACAGATGCACTTTTATGATGGATAGATGCACTTTTATCATGGATAGATGCACTTTTATCATGGATAGAACCACTTTTATCATGAATAGATGCACTTTTATGATGGACAGATGCACTTTTATGATGGACAGATGCACTTTTATCATGGACAGATGCACTTTTATCATGGATAGATGCACTTTTATCATGGATAGAACCACTTTTATCATGGACAGATGCACTTTTATCATGGACAGATGCACTTTTATCATGGACAGATGCACTTATCATGGATCGAATAGATGCACTTTTATGATGGACAGATGCACTTTTATGATGGACAGATGCACTTTTATGGACTTCAAAACAGAAACGGACATATCTCTGCCATTATAAAGCTTGGAAGAGCCAGGACATTTTTTAATATAAGTGATTATATTTGTCTGAAAGAAGAATGTCATATACACCTAGGATGACTTGAGGGCGAGTAAATCATGGGGTAACTTTCATTTTTGGGTGAACTATCCCTTTAATCACATATGTAAACTGTGTATGTCTTGCGTACCAGCACAGGAAAAGCCTCCGTGAGCGAGCCCTTCTCCAGCAGAGACGAGAACTTATAAAACTCATTGGCTCGATACGCTCGCTGCTTCACCAGATGAACCGCATGCAGGACGAACTTCGACGACACGTCTCCAGAGTGAGACGTTAACGAGATCTCTGAGAAAATAATCATAGATCATAGATTTGCGTTGCACTGATGCATCATTCGTCCACACCAGTGTTGTCACGATTGCAACATTAAAGGATTAGTTCACTTCAGAATTAAAATCTCCTGATAATTTACTCTTCCACGCCATCCAAGATGTTCGTCTCTTTCTTCAGTCGAGGAAAACATTCCAGGATTTTTCTCTATATAGTGACTTCAACAGTTTGACGGCTCGACACGATCCCAGCTAGTATCACTAGCTGTGATGCTAGTATCGCATCACAGCTAGTGCAAGACCAGCATTTGTGGTAAAAAAGTATATAAATGTTTATTTTTTCAGAAAATGTCTGCTGGTTTGTCTAGATAAGACTCTTATTCCTCCGCTGGGATCGTGTCGAGCCGCTGAAGTCACTATATGGAGAAGAATCCTGGAATGTTTTCCTCAAATTTCTTTTCGACTGAAGAAAGAGACGAACATCTTGCATGACGTGTGGGAGAGTAAATTATCAGGAAATTTTAATTCTGAACTACTCCTTTAAAGATTTCTCGGCCAGGTTAGCCAAAACACACATTACCTGCCCATGATGCTCCATGAGGAACGTTGATGAAATGCCGCCGGATCTGTCCTGGTCTGAAGTGGACGTCTGTGAACGCGACCTCCTGACTGCGAGTATCAGTGACTCTATAAGACACAAACACACGTCACACACCAGCAGAAACACACCCTCACGGACGCAGGCGTGTAGTTGGACTCACTTGGCAGGGATGATGACCGTTATAGGCACTCTGAAGAGAGGACCAGCGCCGAGAGCCGACGTGTCGAATCCACACACCTGCAAAACACCATCATTAAAGGGAGAGTTCACCCAAAAATGAAATATATGACATTCTTCTTTCAGACGAATACAATCAGAGTTATATTAAATGTCCTGGTTCTTCCAAGCTTTATAATGGCTGTTTCTGTTTTGAAGTCCATAAAAGTTCATCTATCCATCATAAAAGTGCCTCTGTCCTTTGGCACTTTTATGATGGAGAGATGCACTTTTATGATGGATAGATGCACTTTTATGATGGAGAGATGCACTTTTATGATGGAGAGATGCACTTTTATGATGGAGAGATGCACTTTTATGATGGAGAGATGCACTTTTATGATGGATAGATGCACTTTTATGATGGAGAGATGCACTTTTATCATGGATAGATGCACTTTTATGATGGACAGATGCACTTTTATGATGTAGAGATGCACTTTTATGATGGATAGATGCACTTTTATGATGGAGAGATGCACTTTTATGATGGACAGATGCACTTTTATGATGGATAGATGCACTTTTATGATGGAGAGATGCACTTTTATGATGGATAGATGCACTTTTATGATGGAGAGATGCACTTTTATGATGGATAGATGCACTTTTATGATGGACAGATGCACTTTTATGATGGATAGATGCACTTTTATGATGGATAGATGCACTTTTATCATGGATAGATGCACTTTTATCATGGACAGATGCACTTTTATCATGGACAGATGCACTTTTATCATGGACAGATGCACTTTTATCATGGATAGATGCACTTTTATCATGGATAAATGCACTTTTATGATGGATATATGCACTTTTATGATGGACAGATGCACTTTTATCATGGATAGATGCACTTTTATCATGGATAAATGCACTTTTATGATGGATATATGCACTTTTATGATGGACAGATGCACTTTTATCATGGATAGATGCACTTTTATCATGGATAAATGCACTTTTATGATGGATATATGCACTTTTATCATGGATAGATGCACTTTTATCATGGATAGATGCATGGATAGATGCACTTTTATCATGGATAGATGCACTTTTATCATGGATAGATGCACTTTTATGGACTTCAAAACAGAAACGGCCATTCACTGCCATTATAAAGCTTGGAAGAACCAGGACATTTTTTAATATAACTGAGTAAATCATGGGCTAATTTTCATTTTGTGGGTGAACTATCCCTTTAACACAAATCGCGTCTCAGGACATTTAAATGCTGGGAATGTGACTGTGGTGTCGTGCCTCGGTGTAGTGAAGCCCCTCTCGAAGGCCCAGCGGGTCGATGCGCACGTTCAGGTGGCGGCACTGGTTCATGAGCTCCAGGTGCGACGGGCATTGAACCCAGGGAGCGTTGCAGACCAGAGCCAGATGCAGTTGCAGAGAGATACGGGCCGAGTTCTCTGCGGAGACAAGCTGTGGAGTTAGTCTGGTTATGAGTGTAGTTGATGAGTTAGTCTGGTTGTAGTGCTAGTTGATGAATTAGTCAAGTCAAGTCTCCTTCATCTATACAGCGCTTTAACACTATAGAGTTTCACCGCAGCTTTACAGAGATAACAGGAGATTACAGTAACAGAGAGTGTTTAGGCTTTACAGCAGCTCTAGAGCTCTAGCTCAATCAGATCCTAAAAGAAAAACAAAACCTGTGAAAATTTAAAAGTCCCCCTGTGGTGAAAATCCAGCGTTTAATGTTGTTTATGTGTGTATTTGGTGTTTTTAATATGCTATAAGACACACCATGTGTAAGTTCATAAGTCGACAGCATTGCTGAGTATTTCCTGCTTAAAACTGCAGTGAACCAAAGACAGTCTCAAAAACACGGTTTGAAATCGCTGGTGTTTCTGACGTCACAAACGACCTTGTAACCAATCAGATCAACGTGTGATCGTCAACCAGTGGATCTCTGAGCTGAGTGAGTGGAGGCGGGGCTCATTTGCATACTCATAGAACCGAGTATACTAAATGAGGCGAGGGTGTCGAGTTACAGTCAAGATATTTTAAGGCAGGAAGACAAAAAAACTTTTAAATACGTAATTTTGGTGAGTTTTAAGGAATAAAATGTTTGACTACAGGGGGACTTAAAGAAAACAAGTTGATAAAAAGATGAAATCCAATATATGGTGGTAATATGGCATAATGAGAGATTGATAAGCCATTTAAAAACCCGGAACACCAAATTAGCTATTTTCAGCACAATGAAGTGTTCAGTTCAGTTCCTCTATGAAGTGTAGTGTGTACCTGCGTTCTCTGGAAACACGGGCTCGATGCCGACGGCGTGATCGGACGGGCCGGTGACGTGGGCCGGTTCCCTGAGGTAGACTCCTCTCTGAGACCCTACGGTCACGCTGAAGCCCAGGCCGCTGGTGGGCAGAGACACGTGTTGCATGAGGTAGTCGAACGCACGCTCCACCTGCGCATCACACAAACACACACTCATGATCCGTGAACACACACACACTCGAGCACTGTCTGCGTCTCAGTACCTGAATGATGCCGTGACCCTGTGCAAACACTTCGATATCATCCACTTTAAGAGCCGTGTTCTCCAGAGCTCGCCGCACCACCGGCACTGTGGGACGCACGCCGTTCTGCTTCAGACCTGGCAAACACACACACACAGTCAAACCAAACATCACTCAGACACCAGATATAATGTGTGATATTGTTTCACTAGTGTGTGCAGGACACTATAGTTCATTTCTGTGAGTGAGGAGAGCAAAATAAAGTAAACTGTGACATATTACACCCAATAATTCTTCATACAGAGACTACCAGTAAAGATTGGGAGCAGAAATGATTCGGACACTTTGAGCTGATCATGTTTTGCTGAAGTGTGTTTTCTGTAATTGCTAATGCTCTTTTTACACACACACTGAACAACATGAAGCATTGCTTGGTCACTGGTTGAGCTAAACTGGTATTATCTAATTGTGTAGTTCAATTTACCAGCTGACAGATATTCAACATAATTCATGTGTGAGAGTCGAACAGAAGGACGGACAAAACCAGTCAAATATCCACTGATCTGAGAACTCTGAGTTCTGCTCATGTTTATCACCATTATAGCGAATAAACTGTGATAATGTGAGACATGTTGAAGTGTGTGTGTGAAGTGTGTGTGTCGGCACCTGAGAGCACGAGCGCGATCCCCCCGCAGGCGTTGGGCGAGGACATGGAGGTGCCGTTCATGAGCTGTGTGCCGCGGAGCGTCCAGTTGGGAACAGAGGCGATAGCTCCGCCGGGAGCGCTAATGCTAACGCCCAGAGCGCCGTCAGTGCTGGGCCCGCGCGACGACCACGTGTACTGGTTCGGGGGAAGCTTCTCTCTCAGCGAGTACTCGGCCACCATCATGTCAGGCGTCACGTAAGCGCCCACACCTGCACATCAGGGCCATCAAGGAGAGCCGATTATACATCATCATCGAGTATTTATTAAAGCCATGTCAGCAGCAATGCTATCGCCAAGTTGGGTTGGGAATCAAAATTCAATTCCCGAATACTTGGTCAGGAATCGGATACTTGTTATAAAATTTAAATTTCAAAATGTTTTGGTCAAAAATGAGCGAAGAGCACCACAAATCTCTGTATAAAAGCACAATGAAGTGATGTGTGTTGTCAGTACCGATCACACTGCTGGTGGTTCCTCCGGGACAGCCCACGGTGGACAAACACGGGCCGTTGTTCCCAGCGCTCGACACGAACAGAACATTATGCTTCTGCACAGCCTCCGTGATGACCTCGCAGACTCTCCTGAGGATAAGCAGACGCACACGTGAGTCGAGGAGACGTTTCCCAGCGCGCCCTGAGACCGAGGACATGATCAGCTCTCTCACGAGCAGCGATGGGTGTAGAGAATTACTAAGTATTATTAAAGGGATAGTTCACCCCAAAATGAAAACTCTGTCAGTAATGACTCTCCCTCATGTTGTTCAACCCCGTAAGACGGGACACAAATTAAGATATTTTTGATTAAATCTGAGAGCTGGATCACTCCTCAACAGGCTTCTTAAGGGATCGACACTGGGCGGCCCAGAAAAGTTATTAAAGACATCGTTAAAATAGTCCGAGTGACTACAGTGGCTCAACCTTACGTTATGCTCACTATTGGCCAGCATCACACACACATGACCAGCATCGGCCAATAGTGAGCCTGCGTTCGTACAACCCAGAAGCGCTGCGCTGTTACACTACGCGAACTCACTCAGGCCCACAGAGAAGGACATGAAGAGTTGAATAAAGTCGGTAATTTGGGGTTTTTTGCGCACAATAAATATCTTCATTTGTGTTCCGAAGATGAACGAAAGTCTTACGGGGTTGAACAACATGAGGGAGAGTAATTACTGACAGTTTTTATTTTTTGGTGAACTGTCCCTTTAAGTGCTATTAGTTACTGTAATTTAATTACTTTTCCCTCGAAAAAGTAAAGTAAGGGATTACTCTTAATATTTCTGTAATTTAATAACAGCTACTTACAAAGAATCCAACGACTAGTTTTGCATGTGTAATCAGAAGCTCACCCTGAGTTGGGCCAGTGCGTCGCCTCGCCGTAACTGTAGTTCACCAGATCACACTTGTACTTTATGACTTCAATCATCTGCAACAAATAAACACAAAATAAAGCAAGTTTGAATCAGTGTTTTGGTGAGTTTTAGTGAATACGTGAATCGTATTATCAACATGTTTGACTATATTTCTCTTTTAAAATAAATGACACCCTTGTTTTGATATTTTGTCTCTAATGAATGACATTCAGACATATTTAATGTGTCCATTATATTATATCTTTGAGTTTAAAGGTGCTCTAAGCGATGTCGCGCGTTTTTTGGCCAAAACATTTTTTGTCACATACAGCAAACATCTCCTCACTATCCGCTGGCTGCCTGTCCTCTGAACACACTGTAAAGAAACGCGATCTCTGTAGACAGCCCAGGCTCCACAAACAGCAACAAAAACAAACTGCAGCGACCCGCTCCCCGAAACATAACAAACTGTTCCAGCCAATGACCGACAAGAAGGGTTTGGGGGTGTGGTTTGGGGGGTTAGTGTGCGGATGAGGAGGAGGGAGGGTCTAGCTAGCCTCCGTTTTGTTTGACAATAGTTCGAACGTCAACAAGAAGTGATGTCACCCAGGATCGCTTAGAGAACCTTTAAAGATAGATGTATTTTATTCATTTTAATCAAATTATATTAAACGTATTCATTTATTATTTATTTTAATCAAATTTCATGTATTTGTTTTAATCAAATTATTTAGTTATTTACTTGGTTCAATCTTTATATATATATATATATATATATATATATATATATATATATATATTAGGGCTGTCAAACGATTAATCACGATTAATCGCATCCAAAATAAAAGTTTGTGTTTACATAATATATGTGTGTGTACTGTGCATAATTATTTTATATATAAATGCACACATGTATATATTTAAGAAAAATATGTTATTTATATATAAAATGTTTATATTTATATAAAATATACATTATATATAGGCTACATTCAGTCTATATACAGTATATACATGCAAATATGTCTTAAATACACATGCATGTGTGGGTATTTATGTATTAAAAATAATTATACACAGTACACACACATATATTATGTAAACACAAACTTTTATTTTGGATGCGATTAATCGTGATTAATCGTTTGACAGCCCTAATATATATATATATATATATATATATATATATACACACACTTTTTATTTATTTAAATCAATAATTTATTACTAATTTATTTCTATCAAATTTTTTTTTTTTAATCAATTAATTTTAATCTTTTAATGTATTGATTTTTTTTTTTTTTTAATTGTGTTTATTTATTTACATTTTTTTGTACTCAAATTTATTTAGTTAAAACTTATTTTTATTTGCTTCTCTTTCAATTTTTTACACTGTTTTTCTCTAAACATTTACATAAAACCCAGTTTGAGACAGTTGTTAATGTAAAATAATACTAACTTTATATATGATTTTTTTTTTAAATGTGAACTTGAACGAAAATGTTAAATATTGTGATAAAACAAGTCCGACGAAGTACTAAACTACTAAAACTCAAATAAAATAAATCTAAAAAGCGAATAGCAAAATGACTCAAGACTAAACAAAAAAATGGAAAATATACAAATAAAAGCTCACTAAAAATACTATAACAGCATGTAAATAACACTAAAGTAACCCTGAATCAATAGTTTTGATGTCACTCGTCACTTCATGCGTTTCTACTGATTGGATAGCGATCGGATTTATCAAATCCGTTTACACCTGGTCACATAAATGTGTTTCCCCAAAACGGATATTCCCGCGCGATATGCAGATTTACAGAGTTCACGTCAGCGAAAGCAACAGATATGAGCAGTGTTGGGCAAGTTACTTTTAAAAAGTAATTAGTTACAGTTACTAGTTACTTCTTCCAAAAAGTAACTAAATTAGTTACTCAGTTACAAATTTTAAAAGTAACTAGTTACTTAAGAAAGTAACTATTGCGTTACTTTCAAGTAAAATTAAATTTAAATTTTAAAAATTAAATTAAATTTTAAATGCTCAAATGTGACCCCACCTCTACCCCTCTTTAACGGAACTTAAAATACATGTGCATGTTCAATTATTTATGATAAATCTGAATATTATAATGAAATGGACACTTAATACAATACATTATTAACAGAAACATGAAACATTGTACACACATCTAAAAAAAAAAATGTTGCTGTGGGACAAAGTGAGACTAGCCTCCAATCAAATGCCATATATGTAGATATTATGTTTATATAGTGGATCAATGCAAATAACACAATAGATGTTTTGGAACTTTTGATATTCGTTGCCCCTCAACAGGCCACAACTGGGCAAAATTAAATTAAGCTTGTTAAGCAATATACCAAAAAGACTGACTGGCTTGTGTTGTTCCTTGTGTGTCCTGTCCTGTCCTGTCCGACTATGCGTTATGATGGGTCGTTCGCAATTCATGAGCGTAGCCGTTAGTGATGATGGGTCGTTCGCAAATGAGCGTTAGTGATGATGGATCGACTCGTTCGCGAATGAGCTTTTGATGGGTTGTTCGCGATTCGCGAATGAGCCGACTCTAAGAGCCATATCTCGCATATCTGAAGAGCCAAATCTATTTTTACAAATTTAGCCTATAGAAATTAAATAATTATGTAATAAAAATTGAAATATTATAGTCAAAGTCATTTAAAGAGCCGTTTGTGAGCCAAAAGAGCCGGGTCTTTTCAGTGAGCTGAGTCAAAAGAGCCGAATGCCCATCACAACTATGCGTGCTTTCGAACACCCGCCCAACTCTACCTCTGATTGGCTTACAATGACATTTTACTCTACCTCAGTCGTCAGCATTTATGCGCTTGTCTCGTGCTCTGCCCACTAACCAAGGAAGAACAGTAAAAAAAAGTATTTGCCTCTCGCTCAGAGATCTAGTTGGTCTGATGAAAAAAACCCAGCTTCATCAGTTATAGTAACGCGCCGCATTTTTTAGCAGTAACGGGAACGGCGTTATTAAGATGAGAAGAGTAATCAATTAGATTACTCGTTACTGGAAAAAGTAGTCCCGTTAGTAACGGCGTTATTTATAACGATGATTGATTTGTGATAGTTTGCACGTTGCACACTAGCGGTGTTGACTAGCGCCGTCATATCTGGCTATAACATGACATATAGCCTATCACATGTTTATCTATTAGCATTGTTGGGAGGAGTAAAATGTACATATGTGGTTTCAACGACCAGACGCATTTACACTTTGGTCCTCCTGGAGTGGTTTGAGCGAGCGGATCTAAGCGAATGCGTTGCGGAGGGCGTTTACACCTGGCCTCAGGGACGCATGAAGTGGCCTGGTGTAAACGCCCTGTGATGGACCGCTGATGGTCTCTCACCGCTCGTATGAGGCCGGTGCCGGTCTCCATGGTGCTGAGGCGCGTGTCTCCGATCTTCAGCGCCAGGATCTGGGCTCCCGGGGCCACGCCGTTGCGCTCGGGCTCCTCGGGGAAGTGTCCGGCGGCGATGCTGGCCACATGTGTGCCGTGAGCTCCTGCAAACACATGCAATACTCCGTTACACATGCATTCAATTCCACGAAGGACTGATGCACTGGGCTCTTTTATAGAAGATACTGTATAAACGGATGCAACATGTTTATGTTTCATGTTTATGTTTGTTATCAAACATGTTTCTGTTTCACTGTTGACAGTAACGCAGACATCCGGGGTCTCGTTTATGAAACTGTGTGTGAGATCCTTACTAAAAGTGTACGTGCGCCCGAAAGCCACGGCAAATAATACTCAGACTTATAAAACTGTGCGTACGCCAAAATTCCCTTTATAGGGATTTTTTTTTTTTTTTACAATTTTTATTATACAGACAAAAAAAAAACATTAATTAAATCATTAAAGAGAAAACATTGTCTGCACTTTTATCTTTTTACACGTTCTTTTCCCACATATAACTGAATGAGGAGAGAACAACAGAGAAACATGCACGTGTGTGTATTTATATATACAAAATTATTATACACAGCCAACAAACACACACATTATGTACACACACTTTTATTTTGGATGCGATTGATTGTTGCCCAGCACTAGTTTTTATAAATCACAACGTATGTGTATCATGAATTAGTGAAGTCTATTTATTTTTATGTGTATGAATATTTTATGTATCAGGTTTTGGTGAACTGTCCATTACAAATGTCCCTATCAGGGACAGTAGAGTATATTTCCTGTCACGTGTGTGTGTGTGTGTGTCTGTGTGTGTGTGTGTGTGTGGCGTACGGCTCCTTCAGGGCCTGTTGTGTGACGGTTATAAGCGAGTCTCGTGGTCATCAGCCTCACCTCCGCTAGTGACGATACACAGCGTGTTTCCCTCGTCGTAGATGTTCAGCGAGTAATTGAGCATCTCTGCGTGTCCCAGCGTGGCGTACTCCTGCTTCTCCCGGTACGAGCTCAGGACGGTGCAGGACGACAGCTCTCCGGTCTCAGACGTGTCCACCACAGCCCTGACACACACACACACACACACACACACGTCAAGTCACCTTCATTTATATAGCGCTTTTACCAATATAGATTGTTTCAAAGCTGTTTTACAGTAGCGGAAACTGACACTTTCTCATGTTAAATACTGTAATCTATATAAATAAACATGACGTTAGTTGTGCATGTTCTGACCTCCATGTGGCGCCGTCGTGCCACGACACACAGTCATACACCGGCCCTGGGTCGCTGTACTTCTTCTCCAGGGTCCCCAACAGCTCCACGTGACACTGCAGCTCCTCCTTCTGTAGCTTCTCCATCTGAAGACACACACACACACAATTTGTATTTTTTAATTGCAGTTTGTTATAATGATTTATCCATGAACATCATTCAGAATCAGAATCAGTTCCTCTCGCAGCATCTCTTCTCTTCTCTGATGACGAGGGCGGGGCTTTAACCTGTCACTCACATGAGATCAGCCAATAGCAAACCACAACCATCCAATCAATTCCCCACAGACACAATCAAGCCCCGCCCACATGTGTTCTTGTTCCAGAAGCGCTTCACTCGATATACGACACAATAGAGGAGAAGACCAGTGTAACGCCACTTTCATGCCAGTGCATCTTTCCCTCGGGTCATTTTGAAGTGTTTATCAGGAGTCCAAGGCTGCGTTTCAGTCCATAATTGTCATGCCCTTCACTCACTAACTTCCCTCCGTCTCCTCCACTCGGATGTGCGTCATTGCTACTGGCGGGACCTTTGCAATAGGCTGAATGGGAACGTGCTAAAGCCCTTGATCACTCACAATCCACTATGGGGTTGATTTATTTATTTCCCTTATGAAATTGTTTAATGCAGCATTCTAGATGTATATAGGTGTGTTTGAGTTATTTAAAAAAAATAAAATAAAATTTAATATATCATAGTTGTTTGTGGTGGGGTAAATTAAACGCAATATGCGTTGACATCACAATCGTGTTGCATTGTGGGATATGGAGCTGCCTGAAGTGTACATATGAAGTAGACTCGCTCCGGGTCGGTCCATGTAAACTTCCCTCATCCACTTCAGGAAGTCAAGCACACTTCAGAATGGCGGCAGGGATTCCCCCGAGGGAAGTGCTTAGGGAAGATTTGTCCCACTTGGACCATGAATACAGAATTTTTTTTGAATGGATTCAAGGATTTTTGTGGTTAAAATTTTAAAAAGTAACAATCCTTCACTTTTGGGTCGACCTGACCCCCTTAGGAATGTGAGGAATGCCTCAGTACACAGACAAACCTAAAAATGCTCAACATTTAAAATAAAAACTTTACCAATAAATGAGTGTATAATGTGTAGATGTGTGTGTGAGCGCACACTGAAGAGAAACTGGGTTTAGGACCCAGCGGAACAGCTCCTCTGCTCCATATAGAGCTATAAGCCCATCTAGAGGCATGAAATATGTGTTATTATTATATTCCACAAGAGGTCAAAGACTCCCAGTGTAAGATATTTAGAGCTGAATTAAAAGGGTTATGCATGAAATTGTGAGTTATTTTGAATTTAAGTAGAAAGAATGTGAAGAATGTGCTTAAATTATTGATCAAATCTAGTAATTTAAAGGTAAAAAAAAAAAAAAAAAATAACATAACAAAAAAAATTGCATTACAAAATAGAAAAAAATATGATCAAAATGAGATAAAATAAGCTTCCTGGAAAAAAATAAATAATAATAATTAGTATAACTTCAGGGCTTCGGGTCGGATGAGGGTTACATGTGTTCCTCAAGTATGCGATCAGTATAAGCGTCTGACCTGAGAGGGGTTCGGGTGACTCTGGTCGAACTCTTCTGCCCGGCGACTGGCCTCAGCGAGAGCGGAGCGGTGTGCCGGATCCCACAGCTTCTCCTTACGCTCTTTCTGAACGGGGGAACAACATCATCAGGTGCGTTTGTTCAGTGGACACGTCCACACAGGGTTGGGGATCGTTTGAATTATAATCATTACGATTCTTATCGATATTCATATTGAAATGCTCACAAAGGAATCGAAATTTTAAGTTTATGACAAGTAATCGCTTCCAGAATTGGAACTGAATTTTGATCCCCAACCCTAGTCACATGACATCAGCTCTGCCGAACGTTACCTGTATTCTCTCTTTGAGAGCTTTAGGGAAAAAATCATAAGCGTTCTTTATTCCGACGTGATATTTCCCCGACGGATTCTCCCAGTCATCCGGAATCTGCAGAGAAACAGGAAACCCTTTAGAGTCACGGAAACACGGCATTAACACACAGGCTGAGTCACACACACACGTTACACTCATATTTCACCCTAATAACAAGAAAAATGTTAAATTATATTTCGCATTATTTTAAACCACGCTATTTTTGTTATTAAGCCAAGAGAATGGTTGGCATCATGGCACTTTTTTAATTGATAGGTTTGAATAACCTTTTTAAATAATTATTATTATTGTGCAATGGTTGGAAATGTGTTCAATTCTGTGTTCGTGTCGACGTGCGAGTGTGTACTGATGGATATAAATATGATACCAGAGCAATTTCCACTATGTGACACAAAAGTCTGAATAAAGATACATTTGCTTTCTTTTGATTTCAGGTTGAAAAATGAGACCCAAACATGTTATTGCTATAGTTTGAGTAACCCGAGCGTCTGAAAGCTTGCGTGAAGTGTGTGTGACGGGTGAATATGAGATATGAGTGTGCGTATAAGAGCGCCGTACTCTGAGCGTGCGTCCCGTGAGTCCGATCACGCTGCCGTCCTTCAGCTCCGCCACGCTGGACATGTTCACGTCTCCGCTGCCCGTCGTGTCGATGATGTCCACGATCTTCGGTCTCCCGTCTGTGGTGATCTGACAAATCAGACAAATCAGATCAGCTTACGTGAAAACATGCGTGTTAAACGAGCTCAGTGCAGAGCACATGATCCCAAGTGTTGCCGGAGGAGCGTTACACGGGATGACAGACGGAAACAAGACATGCATGTCACATGACTCCCTCAGTAGTGGACAACTAGAACAGCTGACAGGTGAGTGTGTGTGTGTGTGTGTGTGAGAAAACAGCTGCTGGATCCTCTTACAGGGATCCTTTAAACAGGGGGAAAAGCAGCGAAGAAATGTAAAAATAAATAAATAAAAATAAGATTAAAATTAAATAAATACATTTTATTCATATAAAAGAATAATAAATGTATGCATTTGATTACAAAATTGATTAAAATAAATGAACAAAATTTAAATAAAAAAAATACGAGCAGCTTAGTAAAATGTAAAAAAAAACCTAAAAACCTATTTTATGAATATAAAAAATAATTATAATAACTTTATTTAATAAATAATAAAAGAAATACATTATATTAATTTAAATAAAAATAAATAAATAAAACCTTTGATAAACACAAATGCTTGAAACACATAAAAATAGGAAAAGCAGTGTAAAAATGTCAAAATAACATTAAATTAAATTGATAAATATATTTAATATTATAAAAAATATTTATAATAAAAATGTATTTAAATAAATAATAAATCAGATTTAAATTAAACATTCGACTAAAATACAAACGATTAAAATAAATACATAAAAATTGATGTAAATACAAAGAAAAGCGGTGTAATATAATAACAGAAAATAAGTAACTAAATAAATACATTGATTGAATGAATTAAATCTGAATTAATATATACTATATTTATACATAACAATAAAACACAGAAGAAAAAAACAATCATGCAATACTTTTCATATTTATAATATCAATTTTCTCAGTATAATTAACTGGCTGTTAATTGGCTGTTATGATGATATCTGGAGGCCTGTGCCCTATCTAGACAGCATTCTGGATCAAGGCTAATGTGCTGGTTTGGAAACAGCCATTGTCATATAGAATACAATGTTTCTGTGATGTCTGACATGACAAATTAATACCACATTAACTTATAATTGTATCTGCCCTCACAAATGCCATAGTACACGTCTGAGAAACTATGGTGTAGCCGTGGTGCTTCTTTGTAAGTCATTGCCATTGATGAGGATGACACAGCTTGCCCTTTCAAACATGCCGTTTATGTGTTTTGCAGATTTAATCAGCTTAATTGGCTTCGGATATGTCAGTGCTTCGGTGTTTAAATAATGACACGGGGGTTCCGGTACCGTCCAGTGTCTGTGGCTCCTTAAACGGGGTAAAACCCACTGCGGCCTAGTGCTGAGCAGAAGCCGCGGGCTCGATTTACCTGCATGCCCGGGGCCCCTGGGTCCACCCCGGTGTCGAGGATCGCGATGAGCACCCCTCGGCCATCGTACTCCGGGAACTTGGTGAGGAACGAGGCAGCGCCGGTCTCTTTTTTCGGAAGTAGCCCGTGGAACGGGAACGGATCTTCAGCGGAATGAACAGACATGACCGTTCAGAACGAGAATGAAAACACAACACGACCGGTATATCGACACAATGTG